TAATATTCATATTATGTAATAATAGTACAATTATAATTTTATGGATTATTAAATTCAATAAATAATTAATATTTTAAAAACTTAAATAATAATATTATTTAAATAAGTAAATATTATTGAAAATAACTAATTTAACTTACATCAATTAATAATTATAGAAAATAACTATCAACAAAATTATATTTATTAGTAATAATATTACAATAATAGTGTATATTCATTATATATTTATATTTACTATAGTTAATATTTATTTTATTTTCAGTAATTATTTATTGTTTTTAATAAATATGCTTACAATAATTATTTTTATATGTATTTTTATTTTGTTATTTAATAGAAAATTATCAATAATTATTGGAGATTAAAAAACTATTGTTTAACTTTTAAAATTTAATTTACCGTATTTATTGTACTTTTGTTATATATTTATTTTTAGTAATTATATATTTTATAATTTATAGATTAATACTTATTAGAGATTAAACTATTATTTTAAGATTACACGATTTATTGACTAATTTAGTATATTTTTAGTATTTATTATATTTTTGTAATTATTGTATTTTTATTATATATCTATAATATTTTCATTATAAACTTATTTTCAATGATTGTGTACGTTTGCTATAAATTTTCAATAATTATTGGAGATTAAACCATTATTATTTATTAGAGATTAGATTATAAATTTAGTTAAAATTATGAGTGTTCAATGATTGGTTCAGCTCAGAGTTAGGCTGTTTTGCCAACCAAATCAATCAGGTCAAGTCTATAGTTTGTCACTCGAAACTGATTGACCATTAGCGAAAATCCACTAACTCGGGTTGTATCGATTTGGGTCTATTTTCGATTTAGTTTGTTTGTTTAAAAAAATTAAACTTAAAAATTAACTTTAAATTTCATAAATTACAATAATATTATTAAAAAATAAATTACAAAAATTAAATCTATGATATAAAATATTTTAGACTAACAAATATGGGAATTTTCCTACTTCCCTATATTACAAAGTTAAATTTAATTTCTTTCCTAGTTAATTTATGTGATAGTCATCACTTTATTTTAAACCCAATAATTATGAAAAATATTCTTTGGAACATTTGTGAAGTAGAGATAGGTTTAACCGGGCATGTGCAGGGTGCCTAACACCTTCCCACATTGTACCTTAGTCCCCGGATCCAAAGAATCTCATCATCATTGGGTAACGAGTCACCAAGAAAATAAAAACTTTTCTTAAAAATTTTGGTGGTGACTCCACACTCCAATCCATATCTATTCATCCATCCCCCCTCCAGGTTGGGTAGCCACAATGCTCAAAGTACAAATACAAATATATGGGGGGATGCAAAAGCATGTATTTTGTGTTATTTTATATGTATGTACATTGTACATATTTGTATTTGTACTCCTTACAAACTGAGCTAAATCCCTTACTCCTTTCACTCTCCTAATCATATCTCTTAAGGAAGATAATCAAATGATACTAAGGCCCTATTTGGTTTGTGGGAATAGGGGTTTGGAATTGGAATCGGAATGGGCTATTCCAATTCCAACTGTTTGTTTGGATGGAATTAGAATCTCATTCCCATTCTTTCTGGAATGGCATTCCCTCATTTGAGAAAATGGTCATTCCCTGCCCCTCCCTTGGGAATGAAATCCCATTCCTGCTGATATCAATTCCCATTCTCATTCTTGTCTGAACCAAATAGATTATGGGGATGGACCATTCCAATTCCAATTCTGGAGGATTTTGATTCTGATTCCAATTCCAATTCTAACTTGAACCAAATGGACCATAATTCTCAACTATCCCGTACCTTGCTACTTTCTCCTAATATACTAAAGGCCCATTTGGTTTGTGGGAGTAGGGGTCTAGAATTGGAATCAGAATGGGTCATTCCAATTCCAACTATTTGGTTGGTGAAATTGGAACCCCATTCCCTTTCCTACTGGAATGGCATTCCCTCATTTGAG